CGGAACAAATATTTCGGAAGAGAGGAGACGGCCTATGCAAGAGGTGGATCGATAAGAACCAAGGCAGGCCAAGCTGACTAGGTCGAGCTCGAACGTGTTTTGGCGGCCGTCCCGATTCGCGCTCTGTGTGCACGCACGCGGCCCGTGTAAAATTTTCAGCGTTTCCCGCTTCCTTCCACGTCGAACGGCAAGAAACTGCACTAGCTACGGGTAGTAAACATCCGATTGTGGGGACAAATATCCACGACAAACATCGTGCCAAAACAATTAATATTTAACATTTATCCAATATTCAACATTCCGTTCAGTTCGCGCAAAGATGCATTTTCTAGAAATTCCACAACGTAATTACGAGGATTGCTAGAAATTTCATAGATCATTACTGTACATCATTATTTGCGAGAGCTACTATTCAATAATCCTGTGTTACGAAATTAGCGTGCAATGAACTTCGATCCACTTTCTAATGTCCATAAAAACACATGTAATTAACACGAAATACACGATCTGTAAAATTTCTCGAAACGTTTCTCTTATTCCGTGGACAAAACAAAAGAAGAAACTTTTGAAAGTTTCAAAAAAATATCCTATTCTTCGTAGCATCGATTTCTTTTTCATAATAGTGAAATTGGACCGCAAAAATACAAATTCATGCGAAAGATACAATTTTAACGAGATTGTAATACATTAGAGGTACATCCTGAAGTTTTCGAAAATCTCTAAAATTTCTTAGATCTCTATACAAATATAAAAATTATTTTCTTTATTGATTTATAATTAGTAAATTTTAATAGTTTAATAAATATCCAAAATCAGAATATTTCAATATTAAATTGAGAAATATCAAGGAACCTTTGAGATTTCATAATTGCTATCGAATCTCTCTGCATAAAAAATAAAATGCTTTATGCCCAAATTTCTAGAAGATTTCGATAATCTCGCGAGAAAAGAGCGCGTGATTGTATAAGACAAACTTCCGGGAGACTGAGCTGTTGCTTTTTCACGGGCGGGATATTATAAAGATATCCGGCACTATAACTTAGCCATACGTAAAGCCATACGTCGCGGGCTTGCATAAATAAAGGGCGATGGTCCGGTCCGAGAGGTGTAATCACGAGCCATAACCCGATATCATTGCCAACCGATCGCAGCCTGCAGTATCTCCTTCTCCCTTCCTTTCTATACCATCGCTGCGAACTTTGTAAATGCGTGCCTCGCATCGGCTCGTATCGCTCGTTATTTCGCTCGTTTGACCCACTGACGTTGCTCATTAAATCGCCCGTCATCCCACCGCGATATTGCCCGACAGAGGGAAAAAAGAAAAGGCGGAACCGTATACGAATGCCTCGTCGACATCCAACGTTCCGACGTTTGCGTACCACAATAAGAAAGCACTGCAAGCCACGGCCCATCTTCGAATCAAGACATTGACAGTGATTATTGATCGTTCGGTGCCCTTCGTGGATGAGGAGATTTAAGGAGGAGAGGAGAAGCGCCAGCCGACCGAAAATTACATCAGCATCACGTAGTCTGATAATCGAGTAAGGGATTTACGAGGCAGAGTCAATTTAATCCCGGGGATGCGACGGGGCTTTTACAATCACTTCCAAAAAAAACAGAGTCGCCGACCGATACTCCTCCGGCAACGACAAGGACGACTGGCCGTACGCCAAGACCACTGTGTCCGTCTCCGAAAAAAAAGTAGCGGTCCGTTCAGGCTGCGATAGTCTTCATCCTCCTCGTTTTACGAACCGTGCATTGTCGACTTCCGGAGACAAGTCGGTCCACGAGACACTTGAGACGAGGGGGGGGGGGGGGGGAGGAGCTCTGCGCAAATTGCGTTTTCGAGCGTTTCAAGTATCGCAAAGCGCCTGCCCGTCGAAACATAAATCTCGCAATTCACCAAAATGGATTTTATTGTGTTATGCTTCCTCCTCTCCCTCACCCCTCTCCGCCGGCATTGTAGCCGAAATGATGCAATTTGGCAGATAAAACAATAACAACTTTTCAGCAACAAGCTGAGCAATCGCTCATCACTCACCGTTCTCCACCGCGAATCTATCAACCTTCTGTCTTGCACATGGACAAACGAGTTTCACGTTCCTCAAGGACGTATTACGTGAAAACTTCGATCGCGCATTACTCCTAGTCGCATTAACGTGCTGGAAAGCCAGCTCGTAGTGAGATTCACGATAAATGCCATTCGCAGACGTGATTTTTTTGTCGAAACTAACGCCATAAGTGGTTGGAAAAAATGTTTAAGGGACAAGATTGTTCCATTCGAAACGAAGGTGAGAATTCTATAGAGAAGTCCATATTTCTCTGTTTTTAAAACCTTTATATACATAAGTTGCTAACCAAACCATTTACCTACTAACTTTGTACGCTAATAATAGATATTAATTTTCGTAAATAGTGATTAATTTGATTAAAATTAATTTAATTAATCTTTAGTAATCATGAAGACTTTAATCAATTTCTTATAAATATTTCGCAAATTCTAATTCGAGGGATTCAAAAGAAGTTTAGCATAAATCGTTTATCCAGAGAAATAACTGGGTACTACTCTCAGAATTGAGTGATAATACAAAATTTTATTTTAAGTGCTAGGTACGACTTTCAAATTGCGAGCAAGTTCGCGCGGTCGATCCTAGCCGGAGACTTGAAATAACCGCAAATTTTGCGAGTAATGATCTCTCGAATTTGAAGGGAAACACGAACATGAACGCCGATCGCGATCCTCGCGCGGAAATTGAATCGTACTTTATACAGCAACGCGACAAACCGGCTGTTAGCCAAGGACGCATCCCGGTCTCCTCCCAGGTCATTAAAAAGATATTTAAACGCCACAATTGGAGATCTCATCGTTGCGAAAGCCAGCTCAAGGACCACCATGGAATATATCACAAGGAGCTCTTTACGCAACGACCGATCTGGCCCTCTCCTTCTCCCTTCACCCTTTCTCGAAATCGAAGTCCACGCGACGCTGCAGCCCGGGGACCGTTCGAAAACTCGGCGCGCAAAATAATACGATGTGCAAAAAGCGAATTGTGATCGTGTCGTGACGCCAACGGAATCTCGGGGTCGCAATCAAATGTCCCGTCGATTCTCGAAGCGGCTGTTATCGCGCGGAAATACTAAAAATAAAGTGATACTCGCAAGACAACACATGGCTATTCGCTACAAAAAGTAGTATGAGATCACGATTATTCAACCCGTTTTGTATCGCTGTTTTCATTTAAAAGGATATTTATATTTATGTACATATTTACGGAAATCGTACAGAAATAAAAGATATGCAGATCAACAAGAAGGAGCAAAAATGACAAATACGAATCGATTAAGGATAAAAAAATAGGATCAAATCCTGATTTCAGTTTCAAAAGATAATAATAAGAGATTCGAATACAATGGTAATAGATTGGAATTGTATTGCGCCACATAATTTTGAAACATCAAGTGTGCGTGGGTTTCGAGAGTAAAAGCGCTTTTAAGATCAAAGAGTATCGAATTTATCGTCGGTGTTCGATCGTAAATATACGTGTAAGTATATACTTTAGATTATGACGATAAAAATATGTTTACGTCGTTTCATTGAAACCTTTTATAAAAGACTCGAATCGATTACCATTCGAATTTCAAATCTTTGATATTAGTTCCAGTTTGGATGGTAAACTGGGAACTAATTTCATTTCAGGTATTATGTGCATATATACTTCACAAAACAGCCAACGAATCTATTTCCTTTCAACAAGATGTCAAACTGATATTATTAAAGCAAGGGATATCGATCATATTTCCTAAAATACCGCGAAAAAATTTCCTATGAGAAAACACTTTTCGAAACATCGTGGTCCACCTGTGCCAGCAATTCTTACAGTGGTGCCTCGATACTCCGAATTTGAAATATGGAAAATCTAACGAACGAGTATAGATCTCACAGAGTCGAAAGTCTTTTATTTACGAGCCCAGATTTCGATGACTTTAAAATTCGTGAAAAATATATTATAAAATAATGTAAAATAAAGAAACCTTAAATTATAATATATTAATAAAGCAACAATTAAAAAATATACAATAAAATCAGTACATCATCCTATATTACTGAGTCTTATACATTCGCGCAGATTTAAAATATGTGTAATATGTAGAAATATATATTTAATTTATCAATTTCGATCTTAATGAATTTTATCATTCACCAATAATCAACTATAGTTTCCTGTTTTCACTTTCAAAAATCTTATTTCATTTTGTGAAAGTAAAATTATAATAAAAGTTTCTTTACGTAGATTACGTAATTTCTCTATAATAACTTGCACATATATATTTCTACATTCAAATAAAATAAAGAAATTATCTCGTATACACATACAAAAGTCTCTGCACGAAATATCCTCTATAATATATCGTCAAGACCAAAAGGAGAAAAATAAACGTCATCAAAATCTGGGGAGATGCCGCGCATACAAACACCTCCCACGGCGAAAAATAAACCGAGATAGACGCGCGATCGTGAAGCGTCGCGACGCGTCATCGACTTCCCGGTGGGTCTTTTCTTCGCAACTGACGACGACGCCCACGAACGACGCACCGTTTGCCGGTGCGTAGCAAGACGCATATCTACGTATTTCAGTTTGCACGTAGGATTCTTTTCCCTACTTCTCCGCATAGGTCCGCGCCGTCCACTGAAGGATGCGCGGTAAATAAGTGTGCTAATTAAGATGGAAAACACACGACGATAAAAGATAAAACCACATTCTCGAAGGTGGCGTGCCTCACGACAATTTTTTTCTTATACTGCCGAGCGTAAATGCGGCCCTCGATAGTCATCCGAATATGGTACGACGGTAATGAATATCATTTTCTTTTCTTTTTTTTTTCTCCCATCTCGAGAGAGGCGATCAGATAACGCGCGATATCTTCGGGATGGGTGTGCTCGGATCAGAAATTATCACGCCATGTGGCGCTTAAGGATAAGAGATGGGTCGGATACTCACGGTGATGCGTGGGATAATTGTTGTTGTTGTTGGACAGGAGCCGCTGGTAATCCATGTTGCGCGCCGACGTTGGCACTCCCCCGCTGGGCAAAACGTCGCCTCGTCGACGACTTTCGCGTCTCACGCACACGGAGAATTCACGCGCACAGTGTTCTCACACGGTCGCGACCCCCGCGCCCGGTTCGGTAAACACCAAAACGGCCGAGTTCGCGGAACGAGGACGTTCCTCACCGTGCCAAGTGCGACGCGATATTACAAGTTTTTGTCATCCGCGTCGTTTCGCGAAGGGCGCCGGCACGCTCACGGGCATTCTCGCGGGTGTCTTCGCGTTTTTATTGGCGAGAATCAAAGGCCGGGATCTCGGCTTTCGAGGAATTCTCCGACCGAGTTGCGCGGACGTATCCGACACCCGAATGGATTTGAAATCCGAATCGTGGGATCGAAGGGACGAAACGAGATTCGTTGCATACGCTCGAAAAATTTTCCAGTCTTTCCTATTAGATTAGATAATAGAAGATGATTCATCGTGGAAGTCGTATAGATTAGATAATATTATTAACTTAATAATATTCGTTTGAACAGTGAATTCGTGTTAATCTAGAGGAATCGAGGCGATCGGGGAGAGGGACGACGGTAGTTTGAAAGATTAAAAAAATCCCAAGGCGAAGGCAAGTCGCGGACGGTATCTACTGCGTCGCAAATAACGCTAGACTTTTATCGATTTGAACTATCCGATAAACTGCGTGCAACACACGTGGCTCGCAAACACAACAGCGGTAGCGAGAGAGAAGGTATAACGAAATTCGCGGGAAAATTCGTCGAAAAAACGATCGATTTTGCAATTATGTCCCGAAAAATAATGTGTATCTCAAGGTCATCCTGCGGTTGTTAAAGACCAATCGAATTATCGTTCGATACGAACCGTCGAATAATATTTTTACGAAGTAAACACGACTAATTGTCGGGCGAGGTTTAACGACGCCAGAAATATCGAACCGCTCCGATCGAAATTGAATACGGGCCACCCGTGCTTGTGGCGCTTAGTTATCTCGCCGCTTGGTTTTTTTTTCTCTCGGGTAGTCTCATAAATCGCGTTCCGAGAACGAGGGGCTCGTTCCGATCGGACGAGTAAGCGCGTGCGGTTTTTGTCGGTCCCCTCCCGTCAGCTCGATTCGAGCGAATCGCGGTTTCACGACGGCTCTCTCGATCCTCGCGAGACCGCGAGTTATTAGTTAATAATTGATAGATTCAGCGCGAAAGTTTATAGACAGGGGAAAAGGACGTGGATCCGAAATCCGCGCGATTCACTTTCGACGGAGGGAAGTCACGTGCGAAGCTCGAACGAGCGCTCTACAGGCTACGCAGGTTTTTTTTTTCGAGCGTGTCTCATTAGATCGCATTTTAATCGCGTCGCGTTTCAACCGTTATCTCCGATCCTAACGGTGTACGAATTTGGAGAAGTGCTGCGTCGCAAGAAACGTCGTCGTACGCGGGGGCATGCGGGCAGGAATGTACACGCGCGCGCGCGCGCGCACGAATTAAAGCCGGCACGAAGTCATCGGACTCTCCCACGCCGTGAACGCGGCACGCGGCATAAAGGAGGTAATCGGGGCGCATTCTTGCACGTGTGAGCCGCTGTGTCTAGAGCCACATGCGCGATTGATTGACGTAGCCTAGCGTTCCCGGAAATCGGCCGCTCGCTCGCCGCGTACGAATCCACGAAAAGTGAAGAACCGCGTGACACGCTCTCCGCGTAGTACACGAACTCACGAAAAATAAAGAAGATACTGCGTCACACGCCGCTCTCCCCGTACTAACTCACGAAAAGTGACGAAGATACTGCGTCACACGCGCGGGTGGCAGCTCCTCTCCGTCGCAGCTACTCCGATCTCTCTCGGTCGCGTCTAACGGCTCCGGATTGGACAGCACGCGCGCTACGTATCCTACTTCCTCGAGATAAGATTTGACCCCTCGCCCCC